TTTGTGTGAATTGAATAATTTTGGGGCCATGAGGAGACTATTATTATATATTTCTATTTTGCCTCATCAGAAACTGAGATAAAGCTGGATTAAAATGACAATAATTTATATTTTCTAGATACACACAGTGAAATAAGATTTTTATTCTATTTTTCTCTCCAAAATTTAAAGAAATACTCAAATCACGTTGTGTTATATTTGTAATTAATTATATGAATCTATCTCAAATCATTTTTAAGATTAGGAAAGCTATGAATCTTAAATGCATGTATACCTAGTGAGATTAAAGGATTTGTGTTTCCTTAGTTTTCTACACACATATTTCATTATCACCTACCTTTTGTGAAACTTCCTTCTTTGTACTTCAAGATCACGATTTGTTGTAACTACCTTTTACTTGTTCAGATGTTTTGAAGAAGTGATAGTGTGTCCTGACCTAGATCCTGCATGCTTGAAGGAATGAGTGCCTGTCCAAAGCTGACATTGTTATTCCATAGTCGTGGTATTGTAAAATCATCTTGTATATCATGGTGTATGGTTTCATTGGCATGAGTTTATGTACGAACATTGTTTAACTCAGAAAATATTGATTGAACATCTGCTTAGTGTTGGAGATTTTTCTTTGTGATGGGTGAGAAAACTAAATGAATTCTTTGCTCAGTAGAGCTATGTCCATCCAAGTGGGATTGTGGCAAGATGTGGATAGGCAAGAAAATAAATAAGGCACATTTCCTTAATTGCAACGGCTGTGGAAAAAGTGAAACAAGGTAGTATGATAGTAGGACGGGGGGGGTATGGGCTTGTGAAGAGCTGCTGCGATGCAGAGATTTGACAAGGGAGACCTGAAAAATAGCACACTGATAACAGACTTTTAAGGCAATCATTTGAATACCTCTTTTTTTAAAAATTTATTATTTTTATTTTATGTGTATGTGTGTATTGCCTGCATGGAGGTAAGTGCACTCGTATCGTGCAATGTCCACGGAGGTCAGAAGAGGCTGTCAGATCCCCTGGGACTGGAGTTACAGACAGTTGTTAGCTGCCATGGGGCACTGGGATTCGAACCCAGGTCTTCTGCAAGAACAGTTAGTGTTCTTAACCTCTGAATCATCTCTCCAGCCCCTTGAATACCTCTTTTAAAGATTTTGAGTCCTATAATCATAAGCTTTACAAAAGTGAATTTGTTCAGAATTTGAAGTAATTTCTAAGATTTTGTTTGGCTAAAAAATAACTTTGGAATTTTTATTAACATAATTTAAAACCAAAGTGATCTTTTTAGTTTTTGATTTTAATAAAAACAAATTTTATGTTTTGTTTTGTATCAAATTCTTAGAAATGTTTATAGTATCTTCTTTTTTTGTTTTATTTTATTATTTTTATTTTATATGTATGCATGTATCACCTGCATGTAGGTAAGTGCACTCGTGTTGTGCAATGCCTGTGGAGGACAGAAGAGGCTGTCGGATCCCTTGGATCTGGAGTAACGGACAGTTGTTAGCTGTCATGTGGGTGCTGGCATTTGAACCAGGGTCTTCTGCAAGGACAGTCAGTGTTCTTAACCGCTGAGCCATCTCTCCAGCCCCTATGCGTCTTCTTTAAAAAACTATTTATATGTATGTGTGTATCTATGTAAGTTTATGACATGCATGTTCAGGTGCCTACAGAGGCCAGAAGAGGGTGTTGGATTCCTTGGAGCTGGGGTTACAGGTGGTTTTGAGCTGCCTGACATAGGTGCTGGGAACTGAACTGTCTGGTAGAGTGGCAAGTGCTCTTGACCACTGAGTCATCTCTCAACCCCATGCTATATTCTTTAAGTTAGCAAATTTATCTCTGAAGAATAAACAGTACAGCAATGTAATTAGCTTGTAAATGATTTTTCCTTCTTTTTAAAGAAATTGATCACCGGTGAGAAGTTTCAAAGTGCGTGTGAAGAACTAAATAATGCCTTACTTAGGGAACAGCAGGCGCGAGTGCTGCTGAATGAACAGGCCCAGCAGCTACAGGAGCTGAATTACAGACTTGAACTGCACTCCAGTGAAGAAGCTGACAAAAAGCAGACTCTTGGAGAAGCTGTGAAGGTAGAATCTCCCCACTATAATGGCCTGTGTAATGGCTTGGTATAGATCAAGGGGGAATGATGTATATCTCCTGAACAGGGAATAGATCTAAAGGTATGAAGTATTATTCTGCAAGTATTATAGGGATCGTGTGAAGTCACATTTGCCTTCAGTTACAAGCTGAATCGACACTATTGAAAATATAAAAATGGGCTTCACTCACTGGTTGAAAACAAAGTGGAAGTTTTCTCAGTAATAATTTTCTTCTTAATTTTGCCTTCTCTGTGTTTGGCCTCTCCAGTTGTTTGCCTTTTCTAGCTTTGTGTCCTTTGGGCTTTAGTGATATTCCACCCATTGTGGATTCTGGAAGATTTTAGATTCAGGGATCTCTGATTCTTACATAAATTCATGTTTCTAGAAGAGCAAGGTCACATTAGAAAGTGTTATCTTCATCATGTAGTCACAGGAGAGGTATTTACAGTGAAAGTAAAAAGGAAGCTAAAACCTAACAGCTGTTATGTAGAGGATTTTATTAATGTATTTGTATATTACTTATATATTTATGACTATATATATTTGGAAATGTTGGTTACAAAGAATAATGGAATTCTGGTTTTGATTTTAATACTTGAAGATTTTTCATGGTGAAGCTGTATGTCTGGGAAAATCAAAGTGATATACTGTAGTTTGTACATAAGATATCATACTTAATGTAATCAATCAAGAGTTGGTACTAGCTAAACAAATAATATATTTACTCTACTATCTAATAGTACTAATGTCTAATAACACTACTAATAAATTAGCTGAGTCATTGAGAATTTCCTGTTTGCCAGACTCTATGCTTAATACTTTGTAAAGGATTATTTCACACATTCTCCACACAAACTTTGCAGGATAATTTCCATTTTGTAGATGAAAAACTGAGATTCAGAGAAGTTATATTTTTTAGCAGTCACTAGAAGCAATAGATCTAATAAGTCAGTTTGCATACTGCCTTTACTGACAATCACATTAAATGGATTGGCAACTACATTTACCAGGCTCGTGCCACCGCTTCTATATTAATCATTTCATTCTTAAACTGACCCTGCAAGGTAGATACTGTTACTGTTATTTTAGTTGTGTTCTAGTTTCATTCTGTTGCTGTGATAAAACACTCTGGCTAAAAGCAACTTTGGGAAGAGGGTACATTTCAGCTTACAAATCCAGGCAACAGTCCATCACTGAAGGCAGGCAGGTAGGAACTCAAGACAGGAGCCTCTTTGCAGGAACGGTGGAGGAATGCTGCTTACTGTTCACTGGCTGCTGTTCAGCTATGTATTTTATACAGCCCAGGACCACCTCCTTAGGAATGGTACTGCCCAGAGTGGGCAGAGTCCTCCTGCATCAACTAATAATCAAGACTTCAGCCCCCACAGAAGTGCTCATGGAACAGTCTGATTCAGCTAATTATTAAATTAAGGTTCCCTCTTCTCAGGTTGTGTCACATTGACAAGAAAAACTAACAAGAACACATTATTTTTTCAGGGAATTATATTCAGTTGACTTTCCCAGGGTCTCCTGACTTGTAATACTGAAACTTGCATTTAGTTTTTAGAAAAATTAGGAAATACTGAAATAAAAAAGAAGCAAACACAAGTGAAATCAAGGGAATATAAACAGGAAAAATAACTTTTCAAAAATACTATTAGTGTTTTTACAGATCCTTATATTAAATCAAATCATTTGAAATAGATGAATTATGAATGAAAAGCACGTTAGCTATTTCAGTCCAGCCTGGCATCATTTGTATATAATGAGAACACAGATAACAGCTTTGCACTCTGATTTGAATCACAGAGTAGAAAACTGTGTGCATTCATACCAACTGATATGATTCTATATCGGTTTTTATACCTTTGAAACACAATGGATAGATATTTCATTGTGAAAATATAATGTGGAGAAAAATTGAAATTAAATTATCCATGTCATATTACTAAAATAACTTCCATTACGTTAGAAGTATGTATTTGTAATATTTGTTTTTTTGTCTAGAAATGTAACCAAATATAGGTTAATAAAAATACAATTATACTATCATATGTGTTGGTTTTTTAACTTACTCTCTTTAAATACCATGTCAAGACTTCATTTCCATGCTAATAGTGACATTAATGTTGATGGCAATTGAATTTTTTGAATATATGTAATTTTTCAGTTTTTCTTTTTACTTGAAAAAATTTATATGTCTTGGGGCTGGAGAGCTAGCTCAGTCAGTAAAGCGCTTGCCATGCAAGCAGAGAAGCTGTTCGTCCCCTAGCACCCACGTAAAACAGCAAGGTGTGGCAGCAGCACTTGGAAGCTAGTGCTGAGGAGGCAGAAACAGTTGGATACCTGGTGCTTGCTGGCCAGTCAGCCCAGCCTAATCAGTGAGTTCCTGGCCAGTGGAGACCCTGTCCCAATAAAACAGTATGACACTATCTGAGGAATGACACCTGAGGTTGGCTTCTGAACTCCATGTGCATGAACACACACACACACACACACACACACACACAGACACACACACACACCACACCACATACACACAGAGTCAAATATCTTTTTTTTCCAGGTTCTAAACTTTGATTTTTTTCATTGTATACATATATATTTTTAATTGAACTTTTGTGCATTTCCAACATCTTTTTTTGTGTGTACACATTTAGTTTTATTGTTGCAATGTCTTTTGTTTTCTGAGTCTGTTACTTCACTTAGTATAACAGTTTCGAGATCCATCTAATTACCTGCAATTTTCGTTATTTCATCTTTCTTCACTGCTGAGTAGAACTGCATTGTGTAAATGTACCACATTTTCATTAACCACTCATCAGTCGAGGGGCACTTAGGTTGCTTCCATCTCTTAGCTATTGTGAAAAGAGCAGTAATAAACGTGGATGTACAAGTGACTCTGCAATAGGATGAGTCCTTTGGGTATATGCCAAGGAGTGGTATAACTGGGTCAAATGGTAGGTTCATTTGTAGTTTTTTAAGGTTCTCCACACTGCTTTCCATAGGGGTTGCATGAGTTGCAATCCCACCAGCAGTGAATAAGTGTTCTCCTTTCTCCACATCCTCTCCAGGATTTGGTATCATTTGTTCTCTTGATCTTAGCCTGTCTGACTAGAGTGAAATGAAATCTTAGGGTGGAACAAAGCAACCTGTATACTTTTAACTTTTACAGTTGAGCATCATATTCTTTCCTCTCCAGTGAAAACAAAACAAAACAAAACAAATTAAAAACAAAGTTACAATAGAGAACATCAATTCCAAATAGAATCCTACAGGTTCTGCTAATTCTCCCATTGAGTGTCAGAGCTCAGACCACCATGAGGAGAGAAGTTTATCATAAAAGTGTCCTCTTAAACTGTGCAGATGTCTGTTAAACATCACATGCAAAGGAGAAGCCATGTTGTCAAAATGCCCACTTAACCCACCCGAACATCTCAAGTCCACCTTTTCCTAACCGTCTACACCCATTTTTTTTTTTTTACTTTTTTTCTTTTTATTAAACAAGAGAGTAGACAAATGTATACTGGTAAATGCTAACTGTCCATATTCACATAGAGGCACAGGGTAACCTCTGAGCCCAATGTACAGAGAAAGGGGGGAAAAAGCTAGAATTCTATGCACTACTACACAGGGCCCAGCACCCCCAGCTTCCTGCAGAGCCAAGAAAGCAGGAGGCTTTTGTTGTTGTTGTTGTTTTTGTTTTTCCTCACAGAGCATGGTGGTGGTGTCAATTCCAGAGTCTTCGAGACAAGAAGGGATCAAAATGAATTTAGAACAAAAGAGTGGAAGTTCTTTTCCCATTCTACTTTGCTCAAGGCTATGTGGAGAACGCTAGTGTTGAGAAAAGAGGCTTCAAAAACACAGTGACTGAGCACAGGGGCAGGAGGAGGGGAAATTAAAAAACATAAGAAAATGTAGAAAAGGAAGGTCAGAATCCATCAGTGTTCATTCTTTTCTATTGGACATTTCCTTCATCCTCCTCTCCTCCATCATCACCTTCATCCTCTTTGCCTTCATCCTCATCTGCTTCATCAATATCTTCCGATCCTTCTCCTCCTTCTCCTTTCTCCTTCTTTCTCCTCCTCCACTTCCTCCTCCCCTCCCCTTCTCTTCCTCCTTTCCTTCTCCCTTCCCCCTTCCTCCTCCATCATCATCATCATCATCATCATCATCATCATCATCCCCTTCCCCTTCTTCATCACCCACATCAGGAACTAAGTAATACTGCAAGGGATTTGGCCAGATACCATCTCTGCTGACTTCTAATTCATCTGTGCCTGCATCAGAATGGGCAGTGAACCACGTGAAGAAGTTCTCTGGATCTTCACACCGCCTCTTCCTGCTGGCTGTATTCTGTTTGACTTGAGTCTTCCATCAGATCTTTTCCAGATTTCCATTTGATTTCAGTGTCCTTTGAAGGTGGATCACACTCTCATTCAGATGAAATTCTTTGGAGAGAACTTTATTTTCAAAGTAAGGATTTTCATAAAAATAAAAATCTATTCTGTAACCTGATTTTATATCTTCAAATTTTGTTACTTCAACCCTGGTCCAATAATGCAGTGCCTCTTCCTCCTCCTCCCCAAGCAGTGCAGACACTTGTGGATGGTTGGCAAATGCTGTTATCCCCATATTTGGGATTTTGGTGATCAGTTCTGACCTCCTTTGAAAAAATGGTTGGTGGAGTTTATATTTTTTTTTCTATTTTCAAAATTTCCTAACTGACATGTTCATTAAAGCTGTCTGATTCATTTTGTACTCCATCAATGTGTTCAATTACTTCTTGATGTCCATTTTCTAAGCTCTTGATGGCCCCATGGTGGTTGGAGTTGCACTCATTTTTACTGACTTGGGCTGCTGATGCCAACGTGGTGCAGTTGAGGGAGGGGGCAGGGGATGATACAGTACATCTTAATCATACTTAAGCTCCCTCCCCTTTCTTGACCCCTCTCATAGACCGCCCACTGGATTTCATGCATTCTGTC